AGCACAGAGCCATCCTGGATCTGCTGCAGAGTGCTTTGGGAGTGACAGAGGGATCAGAAAGGGCTCGTGGCAGAGGGAACTCCATCAGTCAGGGCTGGTCCCCACACCACGCACTAAAGGGAATCCAGGCTGTTACTGAATCCACTCGGATTTTTTGTTCTTTCACCACGGCTACTACAGCCTGTAATCCCAAGTGTAGCTGCTGCCCGATTTGCCTCCTCTGAAAGCCTTTGCTCAACATCTCCACAGGAAATTTGCTATTTCAGCCAGAATATCTGCAAAGGAGCTGAGCTGCCAGGCAGAAGTTTCCTAAGCTTGCTTCTCTACACAAAAACACCACAGACTGGGCGTCAGGGACACAGGAAGGTAAAATGCAAGATTCCAAGGGAGTTCTCCGATTTGCTGACCCCCAAATCCTCCTTTAGATCTCGAAGTGTTTGCAGAAACACCGATTTAGTTTGCCAAGGTGCAAAACATGCAATAAAAAAGGAGAGGGACACATCCCTAATGAGGTATTTCGCATCCAAGTAGAAACAAAGCATGGCATGACTCAGGATGGCACTGCATCAAAACTTCCTGGACAGCACTGCCAACGGAAATTTCGGGAAGATGCATTTCACAAAGRAGCCTGACCAGGACTGGAAAAGACCCCCTGAGTCATCCCCTCCCAACTGCTGCCCCAGAAATTCATATATAAAAACTCTTTTAAAAATCCCTATGTCTCTTGGCACTTATTCCCTCTTTGGATATCTGCCCCCTGTCCAGATGACCAGAAAAGTGCTTTGAGTTYGCCAAAGGACATTATTCTTGTTTTTCTGCAGCTCTGTTGCGTGGCTTTGGTAGTTTTCCCTTTCTCGTGCTGTATTTAGGGTGAAGAATCATATCACTTCCTAAGCTAAGTAAGCCAAGTTCTTTTTGTTTTCCTTGTCCTGTGATAACCATTCACGTGATCATCTCAGTAATCCTTCTTGAAATCTGATCTAGATAGAATTCATCTACTTAGAATTCATTCCAAGGCGTCCCCTACAAAGTGGAGTTTTAATAGAATGGGCTATAAACAACAAGAATATTTACGGAAACGTCCCAATCCCTTAAATTGAGACCAGAGAGGGACAAGGAATGGATTATTTTTTTTCTTCTGAGAATCACTCAAATGAGCTGAGGATCCTGGCAGAAGCGCAGGCAAAATGGGAGCACACCACAACACCCAGGTGAGCCAAAACAGAAGTTTTCAGAAACAAGACAAGTCAATTCAGAATAGCCAGGAGGAGGGGAGGAGTGCAAGAAGGAAAAAAAATTAAATCCTATGCGTCTTCCTTATTAAACAAAAAGAAATTGAATAATAATTCTAAAAATTGTTACATTTAACTGCATTTTGAATGCACTGAGCACATGGAACACAAACAGCTCATGCTTCAACATGGCTAATGAGCAATTGCAAAACAGTTGTTTCACCTTCAGGGAAAAGATCAGCCATAAATCATAACTTTTTTTAACACCCACCCATCCAAGTTTGGCCCAATCTCTCCCTGCAGAAGGCAGAAGACAGCCTGGTTTTTAATTTTAAGCAACATTTAAATAAAATTATTCCTGCTTCTGCTCTGTCTACGCTCTGAGATGGAAGAACTTGGAACCACAATAAAAACTCTGCAGCCCCAGGGCGGTGTCTGTGTGAGCTCAAATTTATGAAAATCAGCATGATATCCCAGTCTTCCCTCTCAGAAACCTCATTTCTCCTTGGTATTTTCCATCCTCCCTCCAACTTTCAAAAACAGGTTTAAGGTCCTTGGCATATCCGAGCAGAGATATGTGCCAAAACACAGAGCAAGCTGTAACTTTCCTCCAATCTTCTGTAAACCCAGACAGCAATTACCCCTGAGTGATCCTGGCCTGGCACTTAGCTCCTGTTTCCCTGTGCAGTGTGCTACTATTTCACTGCCTGGGATGAACTGACAGCCCAGCATTGATTATTTATTGATTATTTATTGATTATTTATATGCAGAAATGGAGGGGCGAAGGACCAGGCTCTGGATGGGAAAGGTGCTGTGGAGTCCCTGTGTTTCAGACATTAAATTGAACTTCAGCAGCAGTGGGTGGGACCCCGAATGACTAAAGGTGGATGGAGGAGCCAGGGGAGCCATTTGCTAACGCTGGGATCACACAGGAGAGAGCAAATCCATCTCAGTTTTTACCGACASATTCAATCCCAAGGCTTAGGCACCACCTCTCCACACCCAGTCCAATTGTTCGGCCCAGGACCACCAGAATTAAGGGCAGAATTCAGCAAATAGACTGCTCAAAGTATTCTTCAAGCAGGGAGAGTGAAGTAAGAATTWWTTTTTCCCTGAGAATGGTTCAAACKGGGAATAATCCCCTGGCACAGGCTGYGTATGAAGCACAGATTGGCACCACAGTGAAGCAAACCAGTTTTACCCCAAYCCCAGCCCAACCTGCAGCTGTGGGTTTGTGCCCTCCAGATTCCAGCATTCCCCTGAGCTGTCCCCAGTGTGCCACCCAGATTTCGGAAGGGAAGGGGCAGCACTTGCCTTGGGAGTGCCGGGAAGTGCCCGTGYTGGGCTCCTTGTTCCATGCAGCTGCTTGGTTGCCCATGGCCAGGGGCTCAGCCACCCACTTSCTCGCTTCACAGACAGAGGAGCAAAGGAAAACGTGAAAGAAGAGACAGAAAACACAGGGGAGAAAACAAATGGAGAAAAGAAGAGGAAGGCTCAAAGGGAGGAAAAGAAAGGGACAGTGAACTCCTACTCATGGAAAARCTTTTAATTTCCAAAGGACACCACAGAAATAGATTCTACACTTTGGGGTCTTCTGGAGGCACAAGGCAGATTTGAGAGTTTTTCAGCTCTTTGGGTACCCAGAAGCAATTGTTTGGATTTAAAGGACAGGAAAACACGACTATCATGCAAAAGCAGAAATTCCCGTGAATTAAGCCATGACTTCTATTGGTTCCTAATTTGTGAAAATCTCAGTCAAACAAACAAAAAAACCAAAACAAACAAAGGAACAAAAAACCCAAACAAAAAGCAGCTCAAGCTGTGCAGCGATGGCACGAATTGCAGAGTCGGGCTGTGATACAGAATCTTTCGGGCCTGTTTTTCATTGCACGTTCAGGGTAAAGCTCGGCCATGCTGCCGCTCYGCAGAGCCCTCTCCCAGCCCACAGTAGCTGCCTCCCCTGCACAGAGAATCTGCTGTTTCCCAGCTCCACACCATCTGTATCTGCTGTAATCCTCGCCTCTCCCCTTTATCTATTTCAAAAAATAACAGACATTTTCTGCCATCTAACAAAGCCCAAAGATCGCTCAGTGCCGAATTTCTGACAATAGGAATGAAATTGCTCTCCCGACGCGCGTCAGGAGCAGCAGCAGCAGCAAACCCCTTTCCGAGGGGATGCGATGAAAAGGAATCGTTTTTAGCGCGTTTTACCTGGAATGAATTGCATCAAGGCGAGGAGGAAATGCTGCAGGTGGGCGAGCAGGAGGCTGGCGGCCGACAAAAGGATTTCGGCTAACATATTCCGGCGGGCGGGGGGCATCGGCTCGGAGCACAGGCACAGGTAGCGGTGCCCGGGTGGCGAGCAGGAGGCAGTGATGGCTCGGAGGTGAGAGCAGCCTCACATCATCCTTTCACAATAAGAGCCGAGGCCGGGGCCGCGCCGTGCCCGCGCTGCGCTCCGCGGGGCCGGGGCGGGTCCTCCGCCAGCCCGGGGCGCGCACCGGCCCCGCAACGCGCTCGCCACCTGGGCCAGGTAAATGCGGGCTGCCAGGGCATTGCCGAGCCTGCCAAAAATGCTCCTGCGCTCTGTTGTAGCCGCAGAGACGGGGKAAAATAAGATAGGGATTTATGGCTCAGAGCAGCCAACGCTTCCAGGTAATTCTTTCAGAAATTCCTCTCGCCCTGCCTTCTTGTTCGCCTGCCAGAAATACGTGGGATACAAAATACTTTTGTTTCAAAACCCGAGTAGCCATTTTGCATCTTAATGAATGTCCAGGTTTCAGGAATATTGGTGGCCCCGCCAGATTCCTGGACCTCGGACAAACCCTTTTCCTCGGGATGCCCCGAGGAAGCCGCCAGCGCTTTGCCAATGTGATGAAACATCTATTTTATGGTATTACGCAGCTTTTAAAAGCTGCCCTGTGCCTGGAGAGGGAGCCGGGCAGCAGGCACAGCACTCCAGGGAGCCCATTCCACAGACAGATTAATACTCATCCTCAATCTGCTGCAAATTAAGCTGTTTTCTTTCCGTCCTTCCTACAAGAACCAAGGAACACTCGATTGCTGTGTTTTTGATAACTCTTCTCTTACCGTGCCCTCCCTTGAGCTGTGCTTTCTCTCAACAAACCCAACTGCTCCAACCTTTTCTCACAGATCACTTTTTCTCTGCTCTTTAATATTTCTGGTTTCCAGAAATTTTGATTTCTGCTTAACCCCTCATCTTCTTGAGATCACAATGAATTTCCAGGGTATGCTATTGAGAGTGTTCCAGTTCGCTGCTCTTTAAAAAACACTGTACCCTCTAAAGTCCTTTTTCTAAATCATTTGGGATAATGAGGAATAAGCAAAGCAGGAAGCAGATCACTGTACAATACCACATTGGCTGATTTGGCAGAAAAAAAAAGAGTATTCATTACTTTTAAACTCATTTATTTGTCCCCACTTAATGATTGCTCTTGTTTTATATAATGTGACACAGGATGGTGTCAATGATTTTACACCAAGCTAGACCCATTGTAATTTTTCCATATTAAGCCAGCTATTCTGATCAAGGATTTTTTAAAACTTAATTTATTGTTATCCAAGTCATAGTTAAGAAATTWCCTCCAAACCCTCCCCAGGATGGAATTTAGGCTGCCTGAGCTCTGAGTCTTTGCCCTCCATTTTTTTTCAAGCTGTTCCCCCTGAGGATGCAAAACACCCACTCTGTCCTGTTCCAGTGCCACTTTCATCATCAGGATTTCAAAGACAAGTCAAAGATGAAACATAAAGATTTCAGCTTTAGATAAGAGAAGAGCAATGACAAGAACTGAGCTTTTTCATCACTTACAATTTCCAGCCTGTGGAGAAGTTCACAGCAAGCCCAGAAATGCAAAGCYTCAGTGTTAAGACCCCCTGGCTTCAAAAGGGTCAGAACTTCTTCTAATATGCTTCCAGTTTTTTTAAAAAAATCCGTTTATATGCTCTTATTAATCTGTCATCTTAGACGTTCTTGTTAATTTRTGGCCTGAAGCTTAACTAAGGAAGGGAGAAGCTTTAAGGAAAACGTGGTTACCAGCTGAGCTTCRCTGATCAGATTTGGCAGCTTTAAAGCCAATTAATTTTCTGTCCAAACCTCCTGCAGTAAAATTGGAAAGCGGATAGGGACGGGATGGGTGCCAGTTGGGTCTCAGGAAGAGCTCMCTCCTCACAGAGAGCAGGAATGAGCTTGTGGTGTCAGATCAGAAGAGAAAACTTGCTTTGGTTCCCCCAAAAATCACCGAAATCCATGTGAGAGGCAATCAGCAGCACCATTCRTGGGGTGGATGCGTTTTAAACAAATGGGGAAATGGGAAAATTTTAGTTGGTAATGGTGTAGAAGAAAAATGGTGTGCAATGAGTATGTCCATATATTGAGATATTGAGTGGAACACTAAAGAACAGCCAGCAGAAAAGTCCTCTGTATTTCTGGSCAGCACAACAATTATGGAAAGCTCCATTTAAACAGGGAGAGATAAATGAATGATTAATGTGTTTCCATTGCTGAAATGTTATTTAACTTCACAGGAAGAGACTGATTTATTTCCAATGGATCTTTTAAACTTTATGAACTTAGCATTTCAAGCCAAAACTTTTTAAAAGTATGCATTTAATTCATTTTACTTAGTTATTTTTATATATATACTCGCCTATATTCATGTAGCAAACCCAGAAGCTTCACTACTCTCAGTAATTAAAAAAATAATTATAACCACACTGTTCATAAGCTCACCTAGGTTACTATGGCCATACTCACTGACTTTGCTTTCAGTATCTCCTCAGATCCTAAACTCCTCYTATTATCCCAGAAATCCCACTCTATTAAGTGTTACTAAATTGAATGACAACSAACTATATAAGAAATCATTGTAGAAAAGCAAGAATCATTATTCAGAAAATATACCTTGGCTTTAACTGCACTAAGCAGTTCTTCATTGTTCTAAAAATTGATTTGTATTCATTTTTATTGGATTTTATGAAACTTYTAAACAGAGCAAACTGCTGCAACAGGAACATTTGATTCCCTAGGGGAGAAAACTTATAAAATTACTGTATCCCAAAATCCGGGTTCTGATGCTTAATAATAGTTGGATGTATTGGCCACATAAACTAAATCGAGATAATCCAAATCCAGATAATCTAAAAACGCTGCACGATTTCCCCAAAAAGCACAAAGAGCTCAAATGCAGTAACAGGCAGATACTCACCAGTAACCACATTTGTGTAAYTTTTCTTTACAGCCTTGCATAAATATCTGTGGGTGAGTGGCTGCGTACAACCCTTGAGTAGTTTTGAAACTCTGGGCTTTGTCATCATCACAGACGAGCTGATTTTAGAAACACAGCAYCATATTTTAGCAAATGTCACTTCCTAAATCGCCTTCTCCTTTTCTCCCACATTTCTCTGTTAAAACGGCAGTGATTACAGGGTGAGAATATCAGGGACAAAACAGGAGCCTGCTAAATATGATGCAGCCCAGTGGTGAGACTTTTGAAAGCCTTTCSATGCTAAAGATGCAGATAGGCACCTTATGGGATTTTCCAAAATTCCTAAGCGTGTAAGGCGCTTACACCATGCTTAGGCACTTTGAAAATCCTGCTAAGGACATATCTACATCTTTAGGTCTCTAAATCTCACCCTCCATGTCCAGTTCCTCTCATTGTTTGTTTTAAATCGTGTCACTGTGACACGTAGCACATTTGGCTTTGAGCTCATGAAAGGGGGAAAGGAGGATGGATTAAGTCTGAGAGGATTTAAAGAGGAAATCACTGCACAATACCGGGGTGAAGATGTAAATATATCTTATTCCAGCAGTTTTCTTTGTTACATAAGCCCCACAGTTTGTACAAATGATCCTTTGTACATTCCAATGTTTCATCTGTTTTTTTTAACAGTTGAATGATAGGAAAGAAAAAGRGCAGAGTGTTCTAAGTGTATATCAAACAACACTCACATAGTCAAATAACAAAATATGAGCACACTTTAATTCCAGATCATGTTGCATTATCTATTTATTTATGAACATCAACAGCAAAGTTTGATGTTTTGTATTAACATGGCCTTGAAAAGCTCTGCAAGTATTACGAAGTATTTTARATTAAGATTTTATACTTTCCCCAAGTAACATTCTTAATAGAACTCTCCTCTTCCCAAGCTGATCTTTTCAAGCTGTTTACATTCTGAGGCAAAATTGAAATAATATTGCAAGTACATTCTATTAAGATTTTAGCACAAAAAATCTTTTAATGTAGAAAGGAAAAAAAAAAAGAAACAAAACCAGAGAATGGTCAAYATGAAATAATCTGAGGTAATGTTCCACTTACATCATAAAATTCTATGTTTCACAGAAATGTTTTTTTACAATGTTTACTGGGTTAACCAGTAAAACCCAGATAGTTTAATGTCTAAATCCCTTGAGTCACAGGATTTCAAACAGATATTCAGAATTGTTTTTACTAACTACCACTACACCATGTATTTAAACACTCAGTAGCTGCTGGAGTTGTTGATAGTTTCCTGAACTGCCGGAAATATTTATATAAGAGACTGACAGAAATATTTATATACAAAACAGACATAGCAACACTTGTAACAGTTTGTTTTCATAGACAAACACAACCTTGGCTCTGCATTTCTGCAAGGAACGCCTTTTAGCTTTGCAGAGTACTGGCAATGACAGCAAATCTCTGCTTCAGGCTCTCCCTTTTYTGCTTTAGGTGGTTTTCTAGAGCCCTGGCTTCTTTTAAGATCCCATCAAGYTCCTGGACATAAGAAGAATCTAATGCTGCTCTTGCACTAAAGTGAAGAAATCTGTCATTAAAATCAATGCTAATGCCATTAACTTTCTCCCTACTTAAAGCTGCTTTTATGTTTTTCTTAAAAGTATGTTTTCTATCAATACCCAGTTTCTGACAAACACAATTCTCTGTAGTAACAGTAAACAGYATTTTTCTTTCAAGATGTCTTTGACAGTTTTCAGCGCTAACTTCCCTAAACTGCAGCCACCCATCCATCTTATCCACAGAATTTTAAAACWACTGTGCAAATAGGACAAAGTTGACTTGCCTTATAATGTCAGCATATTTTGATAACAAGGTATTAATTTCTTTGCTCATCTCTGTTAAGARAGAAAAAAWTATTTAAGCCCTTGAATGAATCTCCAACATTAAYTTAGGTCATTCCATACTTACTTCCAGTATATTTAATACATCACCATTTAAAACCTTTTCCAGTGGTTCACTGTTGGAAAACGACTGCGAGTCCTTAGAAGGAGCCAAATCTGTTTGGTCAGGCAACTGAGGATTTTCTGAAGCTTCATTCTAACAACAGAGCACATTAGAAAAAATACAGGTTCTAGGATTTAAAACAAGCTTAGCGCAGAGTTTAGCTGAGAGAAAGGAGAGGTTTAGGAAGATCTTGAGGGTGTTTTTGGAGAAAACCCAAGTGGTGTTGGGTTTACAGCACCATGAGCATCTTGCGGAGTGGGTGGGAAGTGCCAGATTGAGATCTCTGTATATATACACACATATTTATTTATATGTACACTTATTTTTTTCTATGTACACTTATTTTTTTATATATACACTGATATATATATAGTCTATATATCTCAGTGAAAGCTGGTGTACTCCAGAAGCTCGTTCTCAAGAAGTTCTACATAAAATATCCCTGTGCTAACCCAATTTTGTTGGGCTTTAAGCCCTCAGAGAAACTATGGTTTCTTCACACGGAAACGCCATTTATATTCCCCCAAACCTCCCTAAAGCTCTCCGCGCCTTCAATTCAGAGGAGGACATGGCCAGGGGGTTCTTCCCTCCCTCACACAGCCCCGCTCACCTCGGTTTTTTTGCGTTTATTTCCTTTCTCCTCCGCTTGTTCCGCGCTGCCCGCCATGGCCTCCCCGCSGAAAGCACGCGGTGCTCGCTGCGCGGCCGCTCCGGGGAGCATGGCTCGATAAAAACGGGAAAAACCTGAAATCTGTCCCCTGCAAGGGCGCTCTCCACACGGCCGGGAAGGCGGAGGGAACGGCGGGGTGTTCTAAAAGCGGGAACCGAGGGGATTCATCCCTTGCCGGTCCCCTCCTGGCCCTGAGGGCACCGAGCCCGCGCCATCCCCTCAGGCGGGCGGGCGGGGAACGGCCGTGAGGGGCGAGGGACTGGGGACAAGTTAAAAGGGATAAGGGACAAGTTAAAAAGGGGCAAGGGACAAATTAAAAAGGGGCAAGGGACAAATTAAAAAGTGAAAGGAGAATGGAATGTCTTTACAAACAAACTCTGACTCTGGGCTCTGGGGTGAGATAAGGCTGATACTGGGAGATAAAAAAGAAACAATGGGAAGGATTTCCATAGGAATTCCACTGATTGACTTATCTCAGACTATGTGAATAAGCTACCAGAGCAGAGACACAGAGATGGATATTGAAAGGGGGCAATTTATGATAGAAGGGGGGTTTCATCAGGCGTTTCGGGGAGCCTGTAACTTTCAAATACCTCAGCAATGGGGAAAGAAAGAGGGACCCGCGGCCGGGAAATTGGGATAAAARGAGGCTGMGTCCTCTATGAATCTGAGAGACCCCATGGGAAATGCCCATGACCTCTCCSTTTATTCATKAATAAAGTTGCAGGACTCCTCTGTCTCCTTTTTAGACATAAACCTCTAGTGCTTGTGGATTAATTTTCCTAACAAAAGGGACAAGGGACAGCCTTTCCCCTCGGGCTGGCAGCACCGGGAGAGGCCCGAGGTGTCCGGCAGGGCTGAGGGAGCGGCTTCGACCCGGCCAGGGCCGTCCCGGGCGGTTTTATTAAACTTTTAAACAGTTCCTCGATCCATTCCCGTCAATTTTCACCACCTAAGTGAAATCCCTGGAATGCCTTTCACTCTCGATGGATCCGCTTCAAAACATGAGCTGTAAGTGAGTGTAATCTGAGAGGTTGGCCACTAAAATGAGTAACAGCCCTAAAATGAGTAACAGCCCTAAAATGAGTAATAGCTCTAAAATGAGTAACAGCCCTAAAACGCACAACTGCCAAGAGATTTTTTTTTCTCTTTTTTAAAGAATTGAGAATAAAATTGTATTTTCCCGAAGTTGTGTTTCACTTCTGTAGGTAAAAACGGTGTTTGGTTTCACCAAAAAGTGATTGAGTCACCCCTCGGCTCCTTTGCAAGAGGAGGAAATCGAGCAAAATAATACAGGAGAGAACTTTTATTATCCAAACAGATTAATCACCACACCAATTAATACCAATTAATTGCTTTCCTAAATCCTGGCTTTGTTCCTTGCAGTGAAATGAATCATTGTAAGATCTGAAGTTACACATTTGTTATATTATGATATGAGATTTTATATGTTATGGTATGTGATTTGCATTATGGGGCATGATTTATGTTATGGTATGTGATTTTCATTATGGTATGTGATTTACATTATGGTATGTGATTTATGTTATATGTAGACTTTATCTCTGTCCTGGGGTTTGTTTTTTTCCTTTTTTTATCTTTWTTYTCTCTTTTTAAGAGTAGGAGAGCTCTTAATCTCACATATGTTATCCAAAAAGACTCKGAAATTAAATTCCCAGCATGAAAAACCAAACTGCTGAAAGAACAAGAACTAAATACTTCCCCAAAGTAGAAACAATTTTTAATAAGCTGCCATGGCCTACTTCATTTAATTCTCACATATTTTATAGATATTTATGCTGYTACCAATACTATCTAAACATTAGGAAACAGGACAGAGTATATTAGGGGAGTGTTCTTAAGGTGTTTACTTATTGGGTCACCATTAATAGGTTTTAGTAACAGACTACCTGAAGAAAACTAAATGAAACAGCTGAATTTTCATTTCCATTATCTTAGTCTATACATAAAGTTCAGRCTAAAAATAACATTGAAAGAAAATGGTCCAAGAGGTGGGTTCACTCGTACTGGAGTTTCACTTCCTTTAAAATTCAAGAAAAATCATCTAAGCCATTAATCTAAAAGTAGTTGCAGTTCCTTTAAGATTGAAGATACTAAATTCCAAGAAGAAAGAAAGCTTACCCTTTACCAAAAAAGCTATTGGATGAGTTAGAATCCGGACCTGAAAAATGCAACTATGTACACCAAATCTTTATAATTTCAAATAAGTTTGAAAGGTGTGTTTTCAACCTCAAGATTATGTCCCTAATTTTATCGTACAGGTATTAAAGCATTCTCTATGAACTTTGTCAGGTTTTTTACCTCCAAGAACAGGAAGAGGCATGCTAATAGGTGAGAGAATGTCCTGGGGATGTGGGTTTGTGTTTGATTTGGGAGTCTGAGGTGGTTTTTTTCCCTATCCACAACTTGGGGTTTTTCAATTTACCCATGGAGCTGCAGAGCTGAACGCCCTAAATTCTGATCAGGGTTAGAAACAACAAATCAAGGCATGGGGGTTGCAGTTAACAAACTGCTAAATGTTTCATTTCCAGCCTCGCTTCCCTGGTTTCTAGGGCCTGGCCCATCTCTGCAGCGGGATGGAGGGATGGGGCGTTATCCCAAAGCAGGAGCTGGACTCCTCCCAGGAATTTTCTTCTGCACAAAAGGCTGCGAGAGGAGATTTCCGCCCCATTCCTGGGCACTGCCGCTGTCAAGAACCAACACGCGCAGTGTTTTCCATCCCAAAGCGGCTTCACGAAAAGCGGCGAGCGAGGGAAGAAGCGGATGGGCACGGGCGGTACCTGCTCCCAAAGCGGCGCGCAGGTTTCAGGACGAGCCCGCTCACATCAGCGAGACACCAAAGCGGCCACAGCCACCCTTGTGGGCAAGATTTGCATAGGCGCTCTCTCCGCCAGCGCGGAGGGGAAATGCCGCACGAAAAATGCCGACGTGGGCAGAGATCTTGGGAAAGCGGCCCGATTTTGGCCGCCCCGAGCCGCTCTAAAGCCCCTCCCGGCATCGCTTCCGTCCGGCTGGGGCATCCCCGGCAGCGGCGGAGCCGGGGTGGCCTCGGGCCAGCCCCGATCCCAGTGCCGGCAGTTCCCGTCCCTCCGCAGCTGCGCCCGCCCAGTTCCATCGCTCGGCTGCAGCGCCCGAGGAACCAGGAGGGACCCCCGTGAGCACTTACCTGCATCCCTGAACTTCTCCCGGCTCACATCGCTCGGCTGCAGCGCCCGAGGAATCAGGAGCGATCACCGTGAATCCCTCCCCGCATCCCTGCGCTTCTCCCGGCTCACATCGCTCGGCTGCAGCGCCCGAGGARCCAGGAGGGACCCCCGTGAGCCACCTCTGCTCCYTCACCACATCCCTGCGGCTCCTCACGGTGGGTCATTCCASGTCCGAYAGCTAAAAACTCCTTTCAGCTTTTGCCGTTCCTTTCAAACGTCCTTGCTARAAGGTCTAATAATCATCTTTTACTGCTCAAGGTTGGGCTTCATGATCCTGGAGGTCTTTTCCAACCTCTTTGATTCTATGATYCCACCATCAAGGGAAGAAGCCAGTCATTTTTTTTTTACCCATTAAACCAAGGATCATTTTTTTCTTTAATCCTCTGTCAAATGTCCTGCCTGTGCCTTCCYCTCGACTTTAGAAAAACAGAGTCGTCTTCACTTTGTGGTTAATCTGCGGTGGATGAGGCGTGCAGGGTTGGGGGTTGTGCTGTCTTGTTTCTAAGGCTTGGGGAGTGCCTGTTTGCAAACAAAGATGCTACTGGGAGCCTAGCTGTGTCTTCTGCACTTTAGAGCATAGAGAAAGAGGAAAAATCAACTGCAAATACATTCCTCAAAGTGCTTTGCTAGAGGGACAAGGAAATCACGGGCATTCCCCACCCTAATCCTTATGGGTGTGCATGTTTACTTATATTGATATTACCCAGTTGTTTGGTGTAAGAAGTCTTTTCAACTGATGAAAAAGCTTTGGAAGTGAGATGACTATTTCTGATTTCACAATAAAATCCCAGTGTGTGGCAATGGGGAACAAAGACACACGGACCTMCTTCTTGCTTGATCTGAAGAAAATAATTTCTTGCCAAAACCCAGCCTTTTTACGCCTCAAACSCGAGCAGGACAAGCACGCGTTGACTGCCCGCCCCTGCGGTGGCCCCGCCCGTGTGTCCCTGCCCAGCACCTTTCTGCTCACGCAGTGTCCACACATCGCTCCAGCCAACCCCTGCCCTGTGCACGAGGTGACCACACGCTAATTCTGCCATTTGTTCTCTTACAGGACCTGTAGCTGAACCTTCCCCAGAGTGCTTTCTGGCAAGAGCGAGCAGAAGTGAACAGGATTTAGCAAAGGTGAAAAAKGCTCTCCTTCTGTAAGGCTTTYCTSATCTCCCACAGCAGAGCAAGAGCCMGATCTTCCCGTTGCTCATCTGGTTTTAACACACTGATTATATTTAAGGGTGCAAGGGATGACCTTTCTAGGGGCAGTCAGAATGGGTTCTGACTTTTGGGTATTTTGGAAACTCGTTTTTTTCTAGGGAGAACCTGGTAAGATCAGTCTGTGTAGACGAAACTTTTAACCCTTTATAGAGCAAGAARCATCGAGCTTAACTCTGATTTCTCTCCGTGTGCTTTGGGCAGGGTGAAGATGAGTGCTGAAGAGATTCTGGTGTATGCAGTAAGACTTGGAAAAAATTTCTGCCTCTATTTTGACGGTAATTAAGCATTTATTAATCTTTTCTGTTTGAATTTCGATTTAATGCAATTCCTTTGTCAGTCTGATTTYRCCTAATTTTCCCGTAAGYTTTAGTTTTAAGTGTTTGAAGTGTTTTAGCCAAGTATYTGAGTCAGGGGAATATTTATGGCTTGTACTAAACRTTCTGGGAAGGGACTCTCAGAAAAGTTGGAATACTGGGGGGTGGACTTGGAGGGAGTGAGTAATTTCTTGTTTTATGGAATGAAGTGACTTAGAAAACAGTTTCTTCATTAAAAGCAATTTGTAATTACTGCTTCTTGTCCTTTTACTCGCCTAGAATAAAGGCACTGAAAAAAACCAAAAATTTGCATGCAAGCATCCCTCAGTTTTAGGCTAAGAGTGACCTGCTCACCCTTCAATAACCCTAAAAAAGCATTTTGCATACCTCTGGTTTGGGGGTGACTCCAGTTCTCAAATGACTGGGGGTTTCACTGTTTGTTTTGCACACAAAAGCCCTCTCTGGTTTTATTTGCTGYTGGGTTGGTGGCACTGGGCTGTGGGAACACGTAGGTGGCTGCCTGGCTTCCAGCCTTGCCTGGGTACACAGTGGTTTCTTTTGTGAGGGCAGAACTTAATGTTGTTTTTTTCCTTCCTTTTTTCACTGCGCCCTTGGAACCAAGACGACGATGGTAAGCTGACAGCTCATCTTTTATAACCTTTATTATCCATTTCACACAAACGTGGCCACGCTTACTCACCCAGAGAGGACAAGGTTCAAAGTGAGAGTGGCTGCAAAAAACCCAGAGCTGCATCTCACAGCTCTGGATGCTGATGTTGCTTTAATTCCTCCTGAGGCACTTCCCTGACAGCACCTTTCAATGCACTTTGGTGGGCAAAAAGGAGAACTGGTGCTTCTTAATTCTCATTAACAAACACAGCARCTCCTCTGGCTTATAAATTCCTGTATTCTGGGAATTCTGCTTCAAGCCAGAGGTKTAAAAAACAACATGGACTTCCTTTTTGTTTGATGTCACTCTTAAGAACTCACTCCACACAACATCCACAATGACAAGATTAATCTAGTAGCAAACTGTCGAGATCTGAGGAGACAACAGATGAAATATGAAGGATTTTCCTTTAYTATTCCTGCAGAGCTGGAATGTGATGCCCTTTGCAAGGAGAAGACTCTGCACCGTGTGCTGAGGAAYGTGAACAGCCAACTGCTCGTGGTGCGCCCGGACCTGAACGCGGCAGCTTTTGAGGATGTGACAGACCAGGAGATGCAATCTGGTAATTTCCAARTAGAAACCATCRCCATTGCTCTGCTGCTTTGTSYTAGAGCTGATTTTGTTCTTTGTAAWCATCCACTCAATKATGAGACTGAGAGMWATCAYTTAAACTTCATKKGCAAGTGGTATTTTGTGTCCTGGACATTGTTGTGGATGAGATTGCTGAGTGACTGAGTCAGTCAGACTGAGTCAGACCTCGGCCTGAATGTTATCAGATGCAGAAAAAGGCCTGTTAARATCTTTGCTTAACACAAAATCCTTAATTTTCCTTTTTTTTTTTTTTTTAATGTTGAATTACAAAAAATAGTTTTAAAATGCACACAGTGCTTTGACACTACAAGGTCTTACTTTTTTCTAACAGTAGTAGTTAACAATATAGTTCAGTATAGTTTTGCCTTTTTTTGGGTGCTTCAGCAATTTATTCAGAACTGTGTTTGTTGACCATATTTATTTATGGATCACCTCTATCCAGCCATGATCTGATTCAGATGGCCACTTCTACATGCCAGTCTCACTTTGTGCTTGCACACAAAACGATCCAAGAGCTCCCCAGTGTCGCTGGTACCCTCAGCTGCTTTAGTGCACTCTGGTTATTGCCTGATGGCACAAAGGCAAAAAGGTACAACCTGAAATCATAAAAATTCAAGTCCTGGCTCATCTGCCAGGAAAAATATCTGGCTGGGAAGATAGCCAGGGTCACCAGTGGAATGCTAAGACATCACTGAGTTCAGTTGTTGCAGCTCCCTTTGAGCTGTTTTTATAAAAATCAATTTCTTTCCAGGCAAAGGAATGCACTTCAAAATTCACTTCTACAAAACCACCACACCCTCAGCAGGGATGCCCGTGGCCTTCAGTGTCAAAGTGGAAGACAAAAGTTATTACATGTGTTGTGAGAAGGAATGTGGAGAAATGATTGTGAGATTTAAGGTGAGGATCTGCTTCCCTCTCCTCATCTCTACAAAAGCAACAGGCAAAGTTAATTCAAACCTGGAATAAAACTGGTCAGGCCTTGYGGTGGCATTAACCTGTTCCCTTTTTTCATCCTCAGGAAGGAGAAGTTCCCGAAGAAATTCCTGATGAAAGCAACATCATCTTTTTCAAAACGACATTTTCATCTTGCTGCTCCAAAGCCTTTAAGTTTGAATATTCACTGGAACGAGGAATGTTCTTGGCCTTTGAGGAAGATGGCTACTTAAGAAAATTGACTCTAAAGAAACTGCCAAAAGATGAAGTGGAYGAAACCATGAAGATAAGTTTACGTAAGTTCAGTCGGAATGAAAATCCCAACCTATGATTGAATACTTTGTTTTTTTATGAAAGCTACTTTTGTATTTCTTTATCCAAACACACCAGTTTTATAACTACTGTCAGTACTTATAGAATAAATAAAAAATTTAAAATATTTAAAATATAAATGCAAATTCTTGACARAAAGAAGCAAAGAATGCTTTCCAGTCAGACCAGACAAGAGAATTACACACTGAAGAAACAATATGCATGTCTATAAGTGGTGTAGAATTTGATCCCAAACATCTTTAGTATCTGTAGATCAAACAGCTTCTGGTTTGGACTTAGACAGTCCCAGATCTGTCAGATAATGAATTTCTCACCCCAGTAACCACACACAGATGCATCTCATGTGAGGAAACTGCAAACACTTTCCGTGACAGACCCTCAGCCTGGCCAGCGGGACTTGCCCATGACTCACYCAGCTGCATCCTCCTCCCTGTGACAAAACAACAATGTTGTGACTTAAACCCCATCACAAGACTAACAAAAGATTGGCCAACTAACTTGCTTTTCCAAATAAATAAACGCAATTTCCAATCCTGATTTTTGAAATAATAATCAGCAAGTCTGGTAGAATTCAAACAGCAGCTTGGTCGTTCTGTTTGTTGCATCACCAGAGTGACGGTAACACAATTCTCTTCCTCTTGTTATAAATAGTGCCACCAAAGTACCACGTTAGAATGTGGAAAGAGTTATCCACTCCTTCCTTACTCATGTGAAAGTCAGGATGAAGCRGAAAGTTAAAAACCACAATCTCAGTTCTACCCTAAAATGCTGCAAACCCAGAACAGAACGTTCCCTCAGCCTCCTGTTTGCGATCTTCTCAGTCACACAGGATGGCACAGATCCAAGTACTTGGAAGATAACCTCAAAAAAATAATGAGCATGAACACAAAAATCTTGAAAGTCATGTGCTCTTAAAATCAATCTCAAAAAGCATTTCTCTTCTAGGTCAATTCATGTTGTATTTTCCAAGGGACATAAATTATTCCTGTATTAAGTCAAGCTTAAGTCAGCTCTAAGAATTAATTCATGAAAATATTCTTTGTTTTACGATAGCCAAATGAAGGCAAAGCAAACCTATTTGCAAATAAAACATTTTCAGCAATGCAAAAGTAGCAAAAATGGTTCACACACGCAATTTCTGTAAATTCTTTATTGCATGGATTAAGAAAAAAACGTATTCCCTTTTCTACATCAAMTGCCAGGGTCCAGAGTTACAGGGTMTGATGTCAGAAGCAGCAGTTCAGTTTTCCAGAAGCCAAGCTTGCTTTACAGAATAAGAACCAACCAACAGTTMACTTAGAAAAACCTCAATTAAAGCTGGTATTACACGGAGAGTTCCCTTTAGCTATACAAGTCTAACACTGATGTCATGAACTCATGCCTGAATCACCTCCCTCTCACTGAGTGAGCATTTTCCAGTTTGAATCTATTTTTTTTTTCTCTATTTACATTCTAAACTAGCTCAGAGCTCCCTGMAGCTGCCCTCCCTAGGGACCCTGGGCTGTTCCTGGGTTGTGCACTGCTGATGAAGCGGAGGCAGCAGAGGACAATCGTGTGTGTCAGGGGCTGGGGACACTCAGAGGCTCCAGAGCATGGCCACAGCTTTGCAGATGCCCACGTCGTGCGCGTTGAAGTGGCAGAGGCCGCCGAAGGTGAGGGCAGACAGGATGTAGAGCCCCACGGTGGCCACTTTGACAGGGGTGTCTCCGTGCACGTAATCGGTTATGACCTGGCCCAGACCCCTGCAAGAGGAGAGAAAAGCTCACATCAGCCAGCACTCACTGCAGCCCATCCACTCGGGGTCATCCTTCCACCAACATGCCTCAAATTTTCACCTGCTCCCATCAGCCTGTCCTAAAGGATGCTCAGTTCCTGCTCAGTAAGAGGCTGCGTCTATTCCAAAAACAAAACACAACACTCCACGCATTCTGTTCAAAATACACAGATTGCCTCAGAGTTTTCTTGAAACAAGAACTGAGCACAGATTCCAGAATCCTTGGAATCTGCCTTCTTATTTGACWTCCAAGGACTGAAAAGGAGTGAAAACAAGGAAATACCAGGGACCAACCATTGTCACAAAGACACGGAAAACTTCTGGATATGTATTTAGATTACAACACTGTCAACCAAAAAATTTAACATAATTTGGGGGTTTTCTACGTCTGGAAGTGATCTCCTGTCCAGATTTGAACTATCCAGCAACAGAAGGCACAGGATGCTGCTGAACTTTGGGAAGAAACTCCCAGTCAGTACAAGGAAAGGGCAAGAATCCCTGGCACAAATTCCTAAAGACAAAACTGAGGTTTTAGAAAACCTGGCACCCCAAAGTRCCACAAAAATCTGCTTTAACCTTGTGGCAAGGAACTCCAAACCAGGATCACCTCAGGAAGGTGAATGCTGCCAGTCTGACCAACCAAGMAGTTGGATCTACTCCTAATTAGCTCTGTCCCTTCTCTCATTAAGGATCACAGCAGAACTACACTGAGCAACATGAGCAAACATCCATTTGCCAGGAATCAAGGAAACAATAATAATCCAGGTCTCCTTAGTAAAGTATTTGCTGTGAGCTCTTTATTGTGCAGAACCTCATCAACACTCAGATGTACAAAGCCACTGCATAGAGCTTTAGAGGAAGAGTGTTTTTATATTATTTTTATACAGATCTGTTATCTTTCTGTTTCCTCTGTACAACACGGGTTCTTCCACAGGTTCAAAACATCCCAGATTCTACATGTCCAGGGGCAAGGCAATGTTCCTGAGGTTAAATACTCTGTAGAACACTGGGGAATTTTTATGGATTCCTTTTCTGACTGGGAGAACAGTATGACAAAGGAATACCAAGGTACAACTTGTCAAAGATCCCGACTGTCACAATTAAWGACCAAGGCTTTGTTTGCCTCTTTCTAAATGTTTTTACACCAGACCAGGATGAGATTTTGAGACTTCCCGGTGAGTCCAGGACTGCAGTGCTTACCAGTGGCCGTGCAGGGTGAGGGCTGCAGCCAGGGAATAGTCCACGGCTGGTCCAGGGTACAGGTAGGCTGCAGGGAGCAGSCCCAGCAGCAGCACACTGACCGCTCGCTCCCCTGTCCAGTGCAAAGATGCAGCCTTGGAACCGCCTGCAAAGAGAAACACTGCTCAGGGAAAATCCCTCTGCCAAGGGGGAAGGAACTGCTTTGAGATCTGAGCAAACCAAAACCCAGCGTGAGCAATACTTGGAAACACAATGTGAGCACCAGCCCAGGTCAAAACCATCAGGAATTGATTCTGAAATTATCTYTGTAATGCAACACCCACACAGTGTTTAACTAACACACAGATAACATCCATCCATCTAAACCAAAATGCAAATGTTTTCCTTGGTTTTGGCAAGAAGAAAAGGAATTTAGAAAGTGACAAGGAAAGCAATGGACCTGAAGTTTGGACTTGGGCAAAGTGCAAATGCAAGTGCTATGAACCGGTAACAGCATTGCTGAAGGCGAGCGCACACACACTCCTCACAGCCTGAGGCACAACAGCACAATAATTTATCACAAATAACAACTCTGCACAATTACTTCCCAATCTCATAATATTCAGCATTTCACTTTCCCCCTAAACCGATTCACATTTAGGATTGTTTTCCCATTTGCTCGTAACACCTGTAACCCTACATCACCCAAGAAGACACCAAGAAAAACCACCGTACGATGTGCAGATCTTTTCTGCCCTTTGTTACAGCTGCCACTTAAAATCTCCTACCTGGCTCAGAAGATTTATAGACTCACAGATTGGCTGGGGAGGGACCTTAAAGCTCCTCTCGTTCTCAAGTCCCTTACGGCCACCAGGTACCCCCTGCATCACCTCTGCCCTTTATCCCTGCGTGGTTGTTGGTCCCTTGGAGGACCCAAGCCCAAAGTTGGCCCTTTGTAACCCAAAGGTATTGACTGAATCACAGAATGTTGGAAGGGTTGGAATGGACCTCAAGGATYATCTAATCCCAGCTCCTGTCATGGGCTGGACCCGACTGCTCTGAGCCCCATCCCGCGGGTCCTTGAGCACTTCCAGGGATGCTGAGGAACCACCTGGGGAACGGGGGTCCCTGATCCCGGGAAAACGAGAGCCCCGCACACAAAAACACACAGATAGACACAGTCAGACACACAGACACACAGCCAGACACACAGACACACACGGCCGTACCTTTTCCCTGGGCGGGTGGGCCGTGGCTGTCGCGGAGCGGAGCGCAGCGGGCGGCGGCGGCACCGAGCGCGGCGGGGCGGCGGAGCAGGGCCGAGCCCAGGAGAGCTGCGGGGACAACGGGGGCGCAGTGTGAGCGCGGGGGGACGGCTGTCACCGGGATCCCACTGTCACCGGGGTCCCGCTGTCACCAGGATC